AAGCAAAAAATAAAATCAGACACAGCAATTTTGACATGGAAATTTTTTCGGATGCCTCGAAAACCGGTTGGGGAGCAACTTACAAAAACTAAAAAACGGGGGGTTTTTGGACTAACGCAGAAAGAAAAAAACACATAAATTACCTCGAAATAAAAGCAGCCGTTCTCGCATTAAAATGCTTCGTCTCCTCGGAATCCAAAAAACAAATTTTACTAAGAATCGATAATATCACAGCACTAGCGTATATTAATAAAATGGGGGGTACTAAACACAAAGATTTAAATTACATAACAAGGGAACTGTGGGAATGGTGCATAACGAGAAAATTATGGGTATTTGCGGAGTATGTTGCCTCGAACGACAATCCGGCAGACAAACCTTCTAGAATTTCCAACCTCGACACGGAATGGGAATTATCAGAATTCGCTTTCAAAAAAATAGTTATAATAAATTCGGATTTCCTACAATTGACTTATTCGCAAGCAGAACAAACTCCAAATGCACAAGGTATTGCTCATGGGACAGAGACCCAGAAGCCATGGCAATTAACGCACTAACTATTAATTGGAAAAGCAAATTCTGGTACGCTTTTCCGCCATTTTCCCTCCTTACAAGAATACTGAAAAAAATCCGGGAAGAGGGCTCAAAGGGGATATTAGTCGTACCCTTGTGGTACAGTCAACCCTGGTTTCCCGAATTCAAAAGAATGCTGGTCTCAGACCTAATAGAATTTAACCCATCTAATAATCTCCTTCTCTCTCCTTGCAGGGAAATGGTGCACCCTCTTGCACAGGACCTTATCCTGGTATCAGGGATTGTTTACGGAGGACATACAAGAAAAAGAACCTGGACGAAAACACGATCGGGATAATGGTCTCATCACTAGCGGAAAGCTCTCGTAAGCAATATAACACATCATTAAAATATTGGTGGAATTTCTGTGAAAAAGAATCCCAGGATCCTTTCAATACTAACGAAAACATTATTCTCAGATGCCTGACGGAATACTTCTCACAAGGCGCGGCTTACGGAACCTTAAACACTTTAAGGTCAGCAATTAATCTGATAAACAGCACCAACACCTCAGACAGTTCTTTAATCAACCGTTTCTTCAAAGGAATTTACAAATTGCGTCCTACAGCCCCAAAGTACCAAACAACTTGAGACATTGATACAGTCCTCGAAAACATCGAAAGCTGGAGACCATTGGATACCCTCGAGTTACCAAAACTTTCCTACAAGCTAGTCATGCTTTTGGCTATTGGCTCCGCCTTCAGGATACAGGCAATCTCTTTAATTAAATTAAAAGATATAAAAATCAAAAACACGGGCGTAGAAATAAGAATATCGGCCTTAACCAAGACCTCCAAGGCTGGAAGAGAACAACCCTACGCATTCTTCCCTTATTTTGAAAATAACGACCTCTGCGTAGCAAGAACAATAGAAATTTACATCGAAAAAACAAAGGATTTAAGAGGAACAACAAAAACTCTCCTCATCTCTCTAAGAAAGCCTCATAAAGAAATAGGCACGCAGACAATTAGCAGATGGCTAAAAAACGTGATGCAAGATTCAGGAATAGGAAAAGAATACACGGCATACAGCACTCGCCATGCCACAACTTCAAAAGCCTGGGATTTAGGCTTGGACATAAGTACAATTAAAAAAGCAGCAGGCTGGTCCGAAAAATCGAAAACCTTTGCAAAATTCTACAAAAGGCCCATTAAAAACAAAACATTCGCAGAAACAGTTCTCCAGAAAAATTAAAAAAAAAAAAAAATTAAAAAAAAAAAAAAAAAAGTTCTATTACGTACTCGTTCAAAAATATGTTTATTAATTTAACTAATTTAAGTTCATGTACAATTTAATAAATAATTGTAAGGTTTATAAAACAAATATAAATTAATTTTAAAATAAATATATATTTTCAATAAAAATCTATTCAAACTCTAAACATCTACCTAGTAAAATATATCTTCGAACAAGTTCGATGAAATATAATTAATGATTAAACGAACTTACAGTGAAGTTCGATCATAATTATATGAAGAGAACTTGTTCGAAGATATAAATTCCCACCCTATATAAAAAACCCGCCCTGGGAAATAAAAACTCTAAACTAAATGAAGCACGAAAGGAAGGAAGCCTGAGAGCAGGAAGGAAAGAGGGAGCTCTTTCAATTTAAAAAAAAAGAATCTGAAATGTGGCGTCACCATCGACAAGTCGCGGTACTATCTACCTAGTAAAATATATCTTCGAACAAGTTCTCTTCATATAATTATGATCGAACTTCACTGTAAGTTCGTTTAATCATTAATTAAAAATAATTTTTATACGTTACCTTTTTAAGGAAGAAACTTACGTAATTTGTGAAAAATAGCGATTTTGTCCCCATTTACCCCAACTGACCATACACATAATTTATTAGATAACTAGACGAGGCAAACAGCTCACACTTGCCATGGTGTCGTTTGGGTTTGTTTTATGCAATGGCCGCTCCCCCTCCGATAGACCCTCTAATTATACATTTGACTCAAAAATAGGTTGTAGTGTGATGGATTTATTATGGCTTAGCACAGGACTTATTCAAATGTTTTGTGACTTGTCTGTGTTGAATATATCGAATAGCTCCGATCATTTTGCTGTGTGTGTGGAACTTAATGTCTCAATATACCCTACAGTGAGTAGATCCGTCAATTGTTTTCCTATGGAGATCATAAAATGGGAGGGAACGAAAATAGCTAAATATTGTCATGAATTATCGAGATCATCATTGTTGTATTTTAATAATGATGGAACTGACAGTCTTTTTGACAATCTGAAAATAGGAATTATAGATAGTGCCAGAAAATCAGAGATGTTAATTGTAAAAACTATACCGGAATCAGTTAATTATGTGAAAGGCAAGAAACCCTGATTTGATGGCTGTGCAATTTGGCTAAGCGTAAAGTAAAGAATAATTATAGGAAATTTTAGTAAAAATAACAAAATTTGTTATTATTAAAAAATTACATTATATCTCGAGATGAAGATAAACAAACTATTGTCCGAGCTAAAGTTGAATATAACAATCAGGTTCAAATGAAATTGAGTAATTTAAGTAGTGGTAAAGAATTTTGGAAAACCGTTAAATCATTTGATACTAAAAAATACCAAACAAATGATATAAAATTGGAAGCATGGATTGAATTTTATAGTAATGTTTATCCTACAAGAATGATGTCTGACAGAACTTTTGTCTCCATTACTCATCCTTTTTTGGACTGCGAATTCAGTATGTATGTGTTGGATAAAATTTTATATAAGTGCAGTAATGGTAAATCACCGGGCCCGGACAAAATTGCCAATGAATTTGTTAAAAATTTGCCACCTGAGTGGAATCATTATCTTCTTAATATATTTAATAAGATGTACAGGAGTCTTTTGCGCAGGCAAACATGTCAATGCTTTATAAGAAGGGGGAGCACACTGATCCATTAAATTATAGGGGTATATCATTGTTGAAAGCTGTCACAAAGGTCTTTACCTCTCTTCTTGCAAAGAGAATTGGGGAGTGGGCGGAGTTCTGCCTTCTTATTCCTGAGGAACAGGCCGGCTTCCGAGCTGGAAGGAGTTGTGCTGATCAATTATTCACTCTCTCAACTCTGGTTAACATAAATTTGGAAATAAATAAAGATTATATTTTTGTGGCATTTATAGATTTTAAGAGGGCATTCGATTCGGTACAACATGAAAAATTATGGTTGAAATTATTTAAACTGGGTATTTCAGGGAACATTTTAAGGATCCTAAAATGTCTTTATGATAAGGCAAATTTTAGAGTGAAAATTGGGCAGCGGAAATCCGAAGTAATAGATGTTACAGAAGGAGTTTTGCAGGTGGACTCACTCAGTCCCCTATTATTAATTCTATTTCTTGTTGACATCATTCACTTTTTCAGGCTTGAAACTTGATTTATGTAGGGATATTTTTATGCTTTTATTTGCTGACGATATTGTTTTACTTGGGCGTAATTGGCATGAATATGCAAAATCTGACGTCTATTTGGGAGTACCTTTTTCTAATAGTGGAAAGTTTAAAAGGGCGAGTGATTCCTTTATAGTTAACGGTCTCACAGCAATAGCTAAGGTCCGCAATATTTTGCATAAAAGTAAAAATAAATCGTGACATGTTGTGGAGACCCTCTTGGGTAACGTGATAAATGCTACGGCTTTATATGCGGGTGAGGTGTGTTCCCTATCTTATCTGAAAAGTTTAGATTGTGTACAAACACGTTTTTTTAAAGTTTTTTTATGCCTTCCAAGGAATACCCCTGATCACTTTGTACGTCTGGAAACAGACATTCCATTTCCTAACGTAATGTTGCTTAAACGTATTGTAAATTCGTGGATAAAGTTATTTGAGATGCCAGAGGACAGACTGCCGAAGTGTTGTTTTGTTAGAATGTGTGAACTAGATTCGTATGCTTCCATTCCGATCGATTCTAATTGGGCAGCACGGTTAAGAATATTGATGGATTCATTGAGGGTCGGACACTTGTGGAAACTGCAATTCCGAGATCCAAATCTTATAAAGAGGGAAAAACAAAACATTATTCAAAAATGATCCAATAATGAATTTAGTGTAGCAATTGAAAGAACTTTAAACTCTAACTATAACCCAAATTATAGAATTTTAAGTCAATTGGACTCGACGGCAGCGCCGGATTTACAAACAATTTTAGTGTAAGCTACCAAATTTTGCCGCCCACTTGTGGGCAGCGTTTAAAGGGAGAAGATGCATATACATGATGAAAATAGTCCAAACATACATGCAATAAAATATATGATATAAAGTAACATTTTTATTAGGTCTAATAATACGTATGCACAATTTTTATTTGTAATTGTTTATTTAATTTTTTATAAAAATATTTAACATTCTTTACATATAAAAATATTGTAATTCAATGACACAGTTATTGACAGTTTAAAATGACTTCAGAAATATACGTAACGATTCTACATTAATTGTTTACGTGATTTTTTATTTGCAAAGTCATCTATAAGTTCATCATAATCAATTGATTTTATGAGATTTGATTCGATGGATAGAAGAGCTAGAGAGTTTAACTTTTCCTGCGATAATGATGATCTGTGATAATTTTTTACTCTTTTTAGACAAGAAAAACTTCTTTCTCCTGAACAGTTTGTTGCCGGAATGCAAACTGCAATTCGCAAAGCAATATCCAAGTTAGGGTAAATGTTTTGCAATGAACGATTTCGTAAGAATTTTAAGAGACTCGATAGGGAGATCAATGTTTTTCTTTCTGTATCTTTCATGGAAGAAATGTAGCTCGCAAAATGAATACATTCTGAAATTAGATTCTCTTCTAGATCATCAGGATAAGCCTTTATAAGAGAAGAAGCTTTCTCTGTAAGTTCAACCACTGACAACGTGTTCATTTCAATCAAAAATGAAAAATTGTTAGAAAAAATAAGATAGGCAGCGTGTCTTTTTTTTAATTCAGCTGACAATCTATCAATAATTACCAGATATGTTTCAATTCGGAATCGATCACTTGCTGTTACTCTTAATTCTTCCTCTGGTACTTCGTCTGCAAATGTCTTTCTTTTTCGTTTCCTCTTACACGTTTCTGTTTCGTACTTCTTTACTACACTAATTTCCATCGCCTTCTCTTCAAAATACTTGAAGTTTTCCCGTTCAGCTATTACAAAGTCATGAAGTGATTTGTATAATTCTGTTACTGTTTGAAGATCAATTGTAGAACTTTGTATTTGAATCATCACCTTATTCAATCTTTCTAAAATGACATTCCAAAACTCTACCATAAACGCAGTTTCTAAACGTTCTAATTTAATACGTATGCCCTTCGCCTCATTTCTTGTAATAGGTTTCTCTGCTGGATCGTCTTCAATGCTTTTCAAAACTCTTTGAACTTCAAACCATGAATCTTTTAAACTCTTGCATGCAGATTCTCTTCCTGACCAACGTGTTAGATTAACTCTTTTCAACGTATTTTTGTTTTCAATTTCAGTTGTTAATTTCTTCCATCTTTCAGTCGATCTTACAAAAAATACGTAAACTTCTTCTAACAGCATAAATAACGAAAAGCCTTCTGCAGTCGATTCAGCTGCTGCAGACCCACTTAAATTTGCAGAATGGCCTGCACAAGGAGCATAAAAAGCAAATGGTGATATCTCTTTAATTTTAGCTTGTAAGCCATTATATAGGCCGGACATATTTGAAGCATTGTCATACGATTGACCGCGACAATCTTCAATATTTATATCCAATGCTTTCAACTCTGAAGTAACAGCAAGAAACAGATCTTGAGCTTTGTGTCCTACAGAAGGTAAGAATTTAATAAAACGTTCACAAGCTTCTCCATTATTTAAGACATAACGAATGACCAAAGTGAGTTGATCTACATGTCCTATATCAGTAGTTGAATCCAGAATCAGGGAAAAGTATTTTGATGATTTTAACTCTTCACTAATATACTCAAAAGCTTTTTTTGACATCAAGAAAATAAATTCGTCACAAACAGTTTTTGACAAATAACTGGTTGATCCAGATCCTTGGTTACCATGCGATTCAATATGTTTAGCTAAAAAAGGATCAAATTCTGCTATTACTTCTAAAAACATCATATAATTTCCATTATGCATATCACCAAATACTTCACTAGTTCCTCTAAAAGCCAAACCTCTTGAAGATAATGCTTTCACAACAGCAACAACTCTTTTTAAGACATTTCTCCAATAAGAAATTTCTTCATTCACTTGGGAAAATAATAATGAATCAATATTGGAATCTGATTCACTTCTGCATTTCATGGCAAGAATACAAGATTTATGCTGAAGAGTATTTTCGTGTGCAACTACACGCTTTTCAACATTTTTCCAGTCATTGAAACCACCTTTAGAGGAAAATTGAGACTGAGATTCACCTATTTCAAAAACCAAACAAGGTCCACAAAAAACGGAACCTTTACTCTCAGAATAAATCAACCAACTTCTGTTTACTTCTTCATTGTTTTTTAACTTTCTTTGGAAAACATTCTTGGTCAAAAAACGACGTTGATCAGAATATAGTCTCTCACTGTTGGAAAAATCGGACGATATATTTTGACTAAACCCATGTCTCGACAAAATTTCTCTTGTTGAATCATTTATTTCCCAAAGAGCAGGATCTTTGCTTAATTCGACAGGCTCTAAACCTGTAGAATTTTCAATTTTAGACACTTTTTCAATTTCTTTTTCCGAATCACTGACACTTTCGAAAGTTTCGTTAACACTATCTGATATTAATGAATATGATGCTGATCCACTTTCAACTAATTCAATTCGAGAATTTAAACCACTATTTTTTTGTTCAGATTTAACGTCAACAGTTTTTGAGATTGCTGTTTCTTGGGAAATTTCAGATCTCTCGTTGCTAACATTCGTAACTTTTAAAAAACTGTCAAGTTTAACTGTGTTTTTAATTTCAAGATCAAATTGCTCTTTTCTAATTTTTTATTTTCTTCTATACTCAGCGCCACTAGCTCTCTTTCTTCCATCACTCATGGCTGAAAATTTTTCAATTATCCTAAGATAAATTAAATTGAGATTAATATTGTACAATGCGAGAAACTGATTAATTTTAAAATAAGTTTAAAATTATTTTTTTTAAATTAAATAAACATATGTTTTTACTGTTGCAACTGAAGCGTTAATATTTAAACCTAACCTTAAATTACAGTAAATACCCACCTTACGCGTTAAAAAAACAAAATAATCTTATGTTTAAAACATGTTTAGAAGTAAACAGATAACACTCAATTTACTAGTCTTTATGTAAATTAGATCACATACAACGCTATTTGAAATCATTAATTTGTTTACTTTATACGAAATGTATTAGACAGAACAACAATAAAGTGACAGTAAAAGCATTGACAATGGAGAAAGCCGAACGTAGAAGTGCAACTCGATGGTATATAAATAAGTACTAAAGTAGATGGAGTTGCAGTCGTATTCTTAATTATTTTTAAAAAATATTCGCTTTTAAAAAGAATACTATTGAATAAAGACAAAAAACTATAATAGATAAGAAAAAAATATTTTTAAAAGTTTAACTTCGTGATTACTTTTATTTACTTCTAATTATTTTAATATTAAAAAAACTTTAATTAAAAAAAATTTTAATTAAAAAAATTTAAAAAAATTCAATTTATAATTTCTTAAAATTTGCCGCCCCCAAAATCTGCCGCCCTAGGCTCCAGCCTACTCAGCCTATTGCTAAATCCAGTACTGCTCGACGGAAAACTATTTAAAGTGTAATATTGCTTTGGGGAAAATTAAAGTAATAAGTCAATTAAGATTAGCAAATCCAAAGAGAGTAAAAGTTTCATACAAGCTTAATACTTATACATTGAATACGGAAGTCGTGTGTTCTCTATGTAATCTCGGGGAATATGAAAATGTCTAACATTTCTTCCTTCGTTGCCCGATATATAAGCCACTGCGCGAAAGATATCTATCTTATTATGTGTCCTCTGGACACTCAAAATTCATTTTTCGGGCATATTCGTATACAGAATTCGATTGCGGATCTTTTTTTCTTAATAAAAAACTTTCCATCTTCTGCCTGTTTCGAAATATAAGAGAAAAACAGGTTTTTTGGAAACGTGAAATTTAATTGTTTTTTTTTCTTTAACTCGCCCCAGGTCAGTCAATTTTACAAGTTATTGAATGAAACAAAAACGAAAATACGTGTTATTATATCTTACGAGTGACCAAAAAAGAAAAAAGTTGTTTTGATTAAAAATAAAAAAGTTATTAATTTTTTATTGAGACATTGCGAAATTCGTGAAGTGCAATTTTCTCAATGCGGGGAAGTTCGACAAATTTTCAGCAGCAACAAACTTCCAGTGAGAAAGTTGTTCATTAAAGTCCAAAGAAGTTTTCTGGAAAGTTACAATGCAATTGAACAATTAATAACAAAATGGTCAATGTTTAAACTTTAAAGTAGCGCGAGCGGCTGAACGTAATTTTTATCATTTGTGATACGATTTAAAAAAAATTTTTTTTTTTAATTTTAAGTGCTTATACTATTAGATGTAGAGTTTTTAAAAATATTTTACTGCGGCGTTCATTTAACGTTGTATCGTCCATTTTGGTGTATAAGGAGTTAATTTCCTATACAGTATTTCTAATTTATTGTAAGTATTAAATGATAAGCATAAAGTAGTTTATTACACAGCTTTATAAAATAACACAGGTCTGCGAAATTTAGTTACAAGAACCTGTGGTACTAATTCTCGTAGGTTTTTGCGCGCTGAACACGAATCTGATGTCCAAAATGGGCCATCACGTCAGGATTTTGAGTAATTCAAGGTCAAATGTCCCGAAAATGGCTATTTTGGACACTTTTGGGAATTTTTTCTGGGAGAAAAAATTTTTTTCTTTAATTTTCGAAAGCGCTATCATATAGTGCGTACTCTCAGCTTTAAAACCCATTTTTGAAAATTAATTTACGATTATTTTTAAAGAAGTTATGAACATTTAAATGTATGACCTTGAGTCATTTTTTAAGACTATTAACCCTTAAACGCCCGACTTTTTTTGTAGAAATGCGATTTTCGTCATGCTCTGTATTCAAGGGTTTTTGAGGTCGCTGATTACGAATCCGAAGTCGGTTTTTAAAAATTCAAAATGGCGGATCCAATATGGCGGACAACTTTTTTAAAAAACCATTTAATTCGTCTGAAAATCGTTACTCGGGGGTTTTTGGGGTCGCTGATTACGAATCCGAAGTCAGTTTTTAAAAATTCAAAATGGCGTATCCAATATGGCGGACAACTTCTTTAAAAAACTGAGGTAAATTTATAAAAATGACCTCTTAAAGGTTTTTGGGGTCGCTAAGTAAAAATCCGATGATAGTTTTCTAAATTGAAAAATCTTCTAGTAGTCATTTTTATGGCTGTGTCTGTATTTTGGTTTTTGTCCATAATCTTGGATCAGCCATTTCGAATCTTGAAAAACTATCATCGGACCCAACCAATGAAGGCCAGGTAAGAAGAGTTCCCAACCAATAAGGGTAAGGTATGAACGTGTCCCAAACTAGCAGAAACATGTAAGTATGCGCAGAAACATAATTTGGTCTACTGCGCAAACGACTTACTACCTTCATTGGCTCATATTCTGCTTCAAAGCTCTCATTCCTCTACCACTGAAGAAATTGGATCCGCCATTTTGAATTTTTAAAAACCGACTTCGGATTCGTAATCAGCGACCCCAAAAACCCCCGAGTAACGATTTTCAGAGGAATTAAATGGTTTTTTAAAAAAGTTGTCCGCCATATTGGATCCGCCATTTTGAATTTTTAAAAACCGACTTCGGATTCGTATTCAGCGACCTCAAAAACCCTTGAATACAGAGCATGACGAAAATCGCATTTCTACAAAAAAGTCGGGCGTTTAAGGGTTAATAGTCTTAAAAAATGACTCAAGGTCATACATTTAAATGTTCATAACTTCTTTAAAAATAATCGTAAATTAATTTTCAAAAATGGGTTTTAAAGCTGAGAGTACGCACTATATGATAGCGCTTTCGAAAATTAAAGAAAAAAATTTTTTCTCCCAGAAAAAATTCCCAAAAGTGTCCAAAATAGCCATTTTCGGGACATTTGACCTTGAATTACTCAAAATCCTGACGTGATGGGCCATTTTGGACATCAGATTCGTGTTCAGCGCGCAAAAACCTACGAGAATTAGTACCACAGGTTCTTGTAACTGAAAAAAGTTCAAATTTCGCAGGCCTGTGTAATTTATATATATATATATTAATTTTCTTTAGTTATTAAAAATGTATAAGATTAATTAACCTTGAAATATTCTGAATTAAATCAGAAATCGTTTATGACTCAAGACTGTTACTAAATTAATGAAGAAAAAATGTCAGAAATTTTAATATTTATATAATTTTTTAAATGTAAAAAAAAATCTTTAAAAAATTAAATATTTTTCAAATTCTAAAGTAAAATAACGTAAAAAACATTTCTAAAAAATGAAACGAAAACTAATCTTTTTTTATCTCATTTTTTGAAAATGCTTCTTTAAAAAAAATAAAATAAAACTGATCGTGACCACAAAATAGGCTATATAGCAATTTTTTAACAAACTATACATTTTTCGTGTAAATTAGATTTAAAACCTGCTTACCAATAACGTTATTTTAACTTCTTTAATTAAATTTCACAATTTAAAAAATGTTGTCAAAATTTTTTTCATGTAAATGAATATTGTGTATAGTAAATATTCAATTAATTAGATAATTAATATTAAAATTTTAAAAATTCAAGTTTGTTTATCAATTAAAATTTTCTTCAAAACTCATGCATTTTACGACACGCCCAAAGTAAAATAATCATGTTAAACCATGTGACAACCTGGACATGAGATTTAGAAAAAGGAGAGGTAAATATACATTTAATTAGTTGACGTGAGTCCAAATCGTATTGGGAGCACAATATGACGAAGTTTCCACAGATTGGGTTGCGTGTATTGGCGAAAAGGTCCACTAGCCTGCGATGAGCCATGCCTCACAGAGACGATAAAGCGAGCGAATCGAGAGGAAAATCAATGGACTTACCAGTAGTTAAGTACTCTCAGAATGGACCTCGCTGATGAACCTTGGAGCAATAATTATTGTTATCCTGTTAATTATGGACATGGTATACTTTCTGTAAATAAATTGTTAAAACTTTTTTCTATGAGAATAACCAATCAATATAAAATTAATTTTTTATACGTAAGCCCCCTTTTCACTGTCCAGGTCACATATATTTCAAAAAGTTAACGAAAATATTATAGTTAAATACATAAAATAAATAAAAAATTTGAGGATTAATGGCAACCGAAATTTGAGGGTAAAATTTTGCGATTTAAAAATGAACTGCAAAATTGATTTAATAAACACGTTTTTTTTCAATTTATCACTTGTATTTGTCACCGGTTAAGAAATAAAGTTTAGAATGACGGACAAAAATGTTTTAATTATATAAAATTGTAAAGAAAATTTTTACTCAGTTGATTAGGAATTACTTAAACTATATAATAATTAATTGATATTGCTGACAAAAAATATTATAATAATATAAAATTTTTATTAATTTTAAAGAGTTTAAAAAAAAGAAAAAATTTATTTCACCAAATCATATTTCTTCTTTTTTAATGAAATAATTCATCATCCATAAACAACATAATCAATAATTGGTCATTTAATTTTTATGATTTAACATTTGTCATCTAGGTTAAGTGCATCAATTACGGTGCGTGAGTCAATTGTGGCGCGCTTTAAAAAATAACTATTATTTAATATTATAATTAATATAACTGTTTCAAAACGATTGAAAATATTATGTAAACGTGCCGTACGTAATAAAAAATTTAAGTATTAATTTTAATTTCTTATGTTTATTTAAATAATCGGTTTTTTAAAAAAAAACTTTTTTATTATCTAAATAAATAAGCTATTGGTTTAATAAGGCGGAAATTGATTTTTTTAATATAAACGTGGAATTTCCTATTTCAAAAGTGTCTTAACTATAATCGTGTCGTAATCAGTGCATTTGCCTTATACATTGTAAAATTATATATCATATTATATGTAGATAATTAATAAAATTGTTTTCTAACGGTAAATGTTAATCTTACAGGCTATATTTTGGTCCTTACGAATTTAAAGTCATTTGTATTTTTCTTAAATGGGAAAAAAATTTGCATACAAATAATGGACGAAATAAAAAAGTATATATATATATATATACATATACATGCTTTATACAATATATTGTTTAAAGATTAAATAAATATGAAATTTATTTTTTCCGAGTATATAAAAATAACAATACAATAATCTGATTTGATTCTAAATAAAAATAAATAGGTATTCTAACTAATTTATTTTATGGAATAATAAATCATGCACCTCAAATTTTGATGTATACGTGTTTTGAAAATACATAACCATATACTGTCTTTATAATTATCATAATAATAACCAAGTAAAATTAAAAATTCTTCTTTTCTTTTTTTAGATTACGAAACCAGTATTTTAATTTTGAAGGCTACATATACATTTGTAATAAAAATGTTAACGATTTAAAGTAAGTAATAATTTTATTGCAGTTGTATAATAATAACTTTGTTTTAATAATATATTTTTTTCCTGTAATAATTCAATGTACAGATACCTGAAGTGTAGAAATAAAAAAAATTGAAATGCCCAGGGTCTAGTAAAGTCCTAAGAAATGGTGTATTTCAAATAACAACTGCACATAATCATCTAGTTGACCCAAGAAAAGAGGAAATAATTTCAGTCAAAGCCTGCACATTTTGTTCTGAAAAATTATGCTTAATATGTAATTCAATTTTAATTCACCAAGTGTCTCCATAGACAAATTTAAAATTAATGAAAACTGTACATATTTTATTGCATGTTTTAAAAAAACACTAAAATTTAAAAATCATTCTCAAAAATATATTAAATATGAATTGAACATTGTTAGTGTAGCAAAAATATTAAATTTGGACTAATAATTTTATTAAAAAAATTTTATTTAAAAATTTCCTATTTTTATTGCAGACATGATGATAATGAAGATGAAGAAGAATTAATAAGTTATAAAAGAATAAGGGGCACTTTGTATAGGTGGCGAAAAAATATAACACTACCAAATGTTACGAATATGAATGAATTTCAAAATCAAATAAATAATGAAAATTGGAATTTTTTATGTAGCCATAAAAATGGCACATTTCATTATTCATCAGTTACTGCTGAAAACGACTCAGCAATATTAATTATTGATGAAAATTTCGCACGCCCACTTTTACGGAAGGGACATTTCTTTTTGCGCATTACTGATAAATGTGTTCCTCCGAATAGATGGTGCGATCAATTATTTTCCCTATTAGCAATTTTCGAGGAACAAGTATGTATACAAAATCATTATATCAAATTTGCAAATGTTTTATAACATTAAAGTTTCACTATTATTACATCACGCGGATCCTAAAATACCACTAAACATTCTATTTAACAATTAATCAAGACATTTAAATTTATTAAATTATTATTTTAACAATTAAAGGAAAAATAAATGGTGATAATAGTTATAATCTTTTAAAATAACTTATTCAATAATAAATTAATTTTTATTTATTATAATTAAAATTGCAAATTTTTAATAGGTAATTCCTTGCGCATGGGCCCTAATGAAAGGAAGATCAGAATTATGTTATCGAAAAATATTATTAAAAATAAAAGAAGTTGTTCCGGCATTTAGAGTATTTTCAATAATAACTGACAGTAATAGAAATATACATACAGCGGTAACGAATGTGTTTCCAAAAGTTAAGACATCAATAAGTCTGTATTGCTACCAAAAAGAAAAAAAATATAATTATTATAATTTATTATTTTCAATGTGTTTAAAATATATACATTCAATTATT